TTGGATGAAGCATCAACTTTGTGACTACGGGTTAGAAATTAAGTCCATGCCCGTATTGTGTGACAATACGAGTGCCATTAACATGGCTAAAAATCCCGTACAGCATTCTCGAACCAAACACATAGAAATTAGGTATCATTTCATTCGAGAATTGATTGAAGAAGGCCAAATTCAGCTTGAGTTTGTGCCTACGTCAAATCAATGGGCTGATATCTTTACCAAACCTCTTAGTGTAGATCAATTTCTCACTATTCGTCGAGAACTTGGCCTTATGCTTTCTAGTGAAATCAATGACTTAAAGTGAAATTAGTAGAGGGTCAAAACTAAAATCAGTGGGTTCTAATAGTCAAATCTAAAAATCTTAAGGCCGGTGACTACAACTCTGCTATGATGTCAACTTCTTGGGCCGGAGGGAATATCTCAAGCTCTGTTCAGGGTTTAGCGGGCCGAAGACCAGTATTAAGTGCTAAGATGAGTATGGACCGCCGCCCAAATAATCCTTGCAACCTTCTAGCAGGCGTAAGTCTCTCACTAACCCTTCCTTCCTTGTTCGTATCAGTAGAGACGTGGGCCGAATTCTTTCTAGATGTTTCCACATCCGTCCTTTTAGTCAAGCTAGAGCGGACCACTGGGCTGTGGGCCTGAGCCCAATCACACCCCCAGCAACGATGAATCTCGCGGTCATTTCCAGAACAGCAGCTGACCACGACCTTCCCACTACCCCTACCGCCAAATCCCTAAGCTCCTGTTCGATCAAATTCTTCCCAAATCGTTTCCTTAATCATATATCTAAGGAAGTTCTAGCCAAAGGATACGGGAGAATCAAGTTCTACTCTGCCTCTTTAATTTCGCTGATTCGACCTTCCCTCTTTCAAAAATTCTTTCCTGCGGAATCCAGAATGGGATTGATTACCCTGACCAACTCACTGATGCTTATTGCAATCGTGAGATCCCCTCCAAAGGTACAGCTAGCATCTTCGAAGCTTCCTAAAACCTCTATCCAAATCTTACCCAAAGGAAGCACGCAGCTCATGACTGGGGATGCAATAAAATCCGATCTCCATCTATTAATTGATCTTGTTAAATGGCTTGATTTGAATTTCCTTATCCCAAACTCCTTCCAGTTCAGTCCCAGCATTTCGTCTCTATAAAAGGCTACACTACCTTTGTGAAAGCCTCATCCTAACATCTCCATCCAAAAGGCAGCAGCAAAAAATCATCTTTTCCCTCTCTCATTCACCATGGCACCGAGCAACCCTCAGCTCAGTGTAACTCTTGCCCCCGCTGCCATTTTTACCAATCGAGGTTTCCGAAACCCGGAGGCCTACTCCAGGTATCTCCGCAGCTTTCAAGATCGAGATCTCCATCCTTCATTCATCATTCCTCCCACCACTTTCAATCGGTACAGACTGCGAGTGAATGGGTATATCAATGATCTTGGATGGAGTTCCCTGTTCCAGAATCGCCTCCTTGATCAGTGCCCTGAAGCAGTGTGTATGTTCTACGCAAGTATGCAGTGCGGTCCTGGACGTTATCCGTCGTACTTCACCACCACCGTCTACAACTTCAGTGTGACGGTTACTGCTGACATACTGGCCAATCTGCTGCATCTTCCTCATGGAGGGTATCAAGCCGGAACTGCTGCCGATTTTGACAACTATGGGTTCCAACCCATAGACACGATGTCTTATTTGGCTAGCGATTACGGGAGTCCCGAGCTTTCGCGATTCTCCGTGGAGCGGCTGCCGGATGATCTGCGAGCGCTACAGTTCTATGTCAGTCATGTGTTCCTCCCTCGTGCTGCTGACCAGGCCGCCAATCTGAACGACTCAGACCTTTGGATTCTGTTTAACGCGAAGACAAGCTGCCCGATCAGCTATGCCTCGCTGATGTTTAATCATATGATGAAATATCGCGACGAAGAGTGCAGTGGCAAGCTGTCTTTTGGCCCGCAAATCACTCATCTGTTGGCCATCTTAGGGGTCGATCTGCGTGGGAAAATCATCAACCGGGATGCTCGTTCTGATCTGCGAGCTCAGCATGTCCTGCGTCGCCCCATCTTGTGGCTTGGACCCCGCAAACTTGCCAAAGTTCAAGGGGGAGACAAAGCTGCCAATAGTGAGCCCAAATCAGAACCTGAAGAAGACAACAATGATGAGGGTAGCTGGTTAAAGGACACGGCAGCAGCATACACAGCTGGTGGAATCTCCAGGATTGACAAGGGAAAGGGAATAGCAGAATCGTCGGGAAAGCGCAAGAAGTCTTTAACATTGGAGCATATACAGGAAGGGGTAAGGCTGGAAAATGAAGGAAAAAGTCTCCTCCGTGACTTTACCGTGTCACTGAAGGGAAAAGAGGCCAGCACCTCATGCAAGAAAGTCAGTAGGGTGTTATTCTTACCTTCGGAGGATGAGGAAGTCGATCCATCGGAGTATGCGTCATCTCCGGAGTACACCTTCTAGGAATAATCTTGTTGCTTAGTCTTAGGGGGAGTTCCATGAATGTTTTCTGTTCTTTGTTTCGAGTCTGTTTTGGGCTATTAAGTCTTGATTGAGTGTTAAGTTTGCTTTAGTTTAGGTTAAGGTGTTGAGACCTTGTGTCGAGTGTCTAGTGGTGTGTCGTATGTCTCCTTGAATAAAATGGACTCCTATTCGGCTCTAGTTACATTTGATTCTTACTGCCATGATCTTAGGAATGGACAGGCTGCACTAATGGTTTGTTTAAGTGTGCAGGTTTTTGATTTAGGTAAGCAGCTTAAAGGGTGAACTTTGACAAGGTGAGACAACCTCTGGGACCTTCTGTTCAGGGGGAGAATGTCAGCCATTGTCATGCTGAGGGGGAGAATGTTGGCATCAACTTGACAATGGCAAAACTTCTTGATGGCCAAGACAAGAATCAAATCAAGGTGAAAAATCAATGGCTGTCCCAAAAGCAGTTAAGGCAAGATTTTGGGTCAAAAGAAGAAAGAATAAGAAACTTGCCATACTTGAAGATTTCAAGGGAATTCAAATTCTCAACAGCTACATTGCAGCCTATAAAAGGCGATTTGAAGGAAGAGCAAAATCAACCTTTCAAGAGATCAAAACTAGCTAAGTCAAAAGGGGATTTTGGGAGAATAGCTAGAGTGATAGGAAAGGGGTTTCTCAAAGGGTTCGGGGAGAATTGCTTTGAGGGTTAGTGTTGGGGAAACACAGGTTTCGAGTTGCTGGGGAAGCAATTCGGGTTTGAGAAAAGAGAGTTAGATCAATCGGGTAGAGATTGATCAAAGGGCTCTTGGGTAGATTGCTTGTAACGAAGAACGTCAACGCTATATCATAGTGAATCGTCAGAGATCACACAACCGTGATTCTCTGACCGTGGAGTAGTCAGTATTGGGATCCTCATTCTCCCAATACTGGAAACCACGTAAAAATCGCGTGTCTAGTTCATATTCTGCTTTTCATTTCCAGTCTGTGTGTGCCTCTGTTTGTTTTCTGTTTCAGGACAGATCGTGCTACAGAACTCGTTCCAAGAGTAGTTAGGGAAGGCGACATCCCTAGACACGGTTGAGAAATTTGTGAAGCTGAGTTTTGGCTTTCCTGGGTTCATTGCTTTGTCTGGGTTTTATTATTGTGTTCATTCTGTTCGTCCCCTGTTCTTGGTTCGAAAAGAAGCTGGTCTGCTTCTGGATCGAAGTGGAAAGTGGGAGGGAAGCTGTAGTTGGAATTCAATCCACGGTCGTATTAGTTTGGTCACTTAGTGATTGGTCCGGGTCGACTGTTTGTTGGGCTGGGGTTGTCTGATACACCTCATCCGCCAGATTTAATTAGTTGGGCTTAGAAGCCCAGTCGGATTTGTCATTAGGCTTGCAGGTTAAGAGTTAGCCAATAGCTTAAGTAACAGGTCTCAACCAGTACTAAGCTAAGGAGTTAGATTAAGTGCTCTAGGTGATTAACTATTCAGGGAGTCTTTTAATTTCAATTGAGTAATATTTAATTATTGAGCTTATTTGTGTTTAAGTGTTTTGAAAGACAGGTATAAAGTCTCGCGCTCGACGCAACCAACACGCCCCGCTTACTGGCCGGGTCGGACCCGCCCCAAAACAGGCCAAACAGGTCGGGTATAACGGGTCAGGTCAAAATTGTCATCCCTAGACCTGAGTATGAGATATGGATGGATTTCATGTGTCGCCATCTTTCTAAACTGAATAGTTGTCCGTCTGATAACTGAAATTTAACCTAGAGAAAAGCCAACTATTTTGTGTTGGGATAACAGAAGAGGAGCATGATAATCTAGTAGGTCTGGTTGGATTCACAAAAGCCAAACTCCCTGTTAAATATCTTGGAGTCCCTTTACCATCTGGGAAGCTCGTTGTTCATGATTGCAAACTGTTGATTGATAAATTTACGAGAATAGATGGCTGGAAGGCAGGAATGCTAAACTGTGCGGACAAAGTTCAGCATATTAACTCAGTATTGTTGAGCAGTCTAATGCAGTTCTGTTCGCAAAAAAATTGTACTTGACACCCGGAGCTAGCATGGCTAATGGTCTACACGAGGCGAAAAATGACAAAGATTTGATGAAAGGGTTGCTTGTCGATGTTGCCCATACTAAGGCCATCTCAATATATGTAGAGTTTGTTGATCCGAATGATTGTACGATGGGAGATAATGAGGAAGTAAATGTTGGTACAGATTTTGTAGGGCTGCCTGGTAACAACTCTATGGCTGGTAACAACTCAGTTATTGACTCGAACGATGCGATGATTTCGGATGAAGACTTACATTGAGGGGTTGTCAATTATAAGAACACTTGGGCTGAGAAGGAGGTTTGCAACATGGGATTATGCTTCTGGGAAAGAGGTGGACCAATTTAAAGAAATGGAGCTTACACAAAATTCTGATGAAGATGGTGATTTATCATACACTGATGAAGATGATGATGCTGCTTATTCTAATGAAGAGAACTCCTTGTAGTTGACCTACTTCAACCGGTATCAACGCTAGTTGCCATCGCTAATTAACAAGTTTAATCAGCCAGGACAATGCAGTGTATGGGAATTCAAGCAAGGAGTATCATTAGTGGTTTTGATACACACCAAAGCACAAATGAATGAATAACGGCAAATGTGCAGTGCACTGGTATGACAAAATAGACCTTGTGATTCTTATAACAAAATCCTCCTGCCAGAACGATAGAAAACTAGCCTCCCAAAGGTAATGGTGCATTACGCTTCTAACAAATCCTCCGACATAATGAGCTATGGACTATGATCACAACTAGACTTAATCAGCCATTTACTATCGAGGATGGGGGGATACACGACCTCTTCGCTTGGATGCCATACAACTCACCTTGTTTCACCTGTACAAAGGTACAAAATCTTCAGACCGCAAGACTGGCTCACGGTCAAGAGCCTCATTCCCTTACCAGCTCAGATTCTTTGCACTAGAGCCAAAATGACACCGGAACTAGCATATACTGTTTCTGTTTCAAACTCTGTGTGGTGACCATTCAAGTTTAAACCTGTAGAGTACAAGGCAGTGAGTGTACTATGAAAAAACAGTATGCAGTTATAATGTTGAGCTGGTCAATAACAAAAGCTAATTCTTACCATTAACTGGGGAAGTCTCAAAAAGATAAAAGCCAGCGAGTACAGAACACTGGAAAGAATTGCTGCTGTTATAATGTTTTGCACCAGTCGCTTATCGTCTTTGCTGGGGACAAAAGCAATCTTCAATGTATTTGTCAGCTCAAAGAGTCTATAGGAAACCTACAGAAGAAGCAATACAACAATCTTCAGAAAATACTGCCCTGTAACAACCACAGAAAGCATACAACACCATATACTTACTGCAACATATATTGCACTCGTAAGCATGAAGTTAAGCAGTGGATATTCTGGGATCAGAGATAGCAGTAATTTTGGTTGAGCATCTGGGACGCTTGATCTGCAAGTTCATTAACAAAAAATTAATACAACCAAGTACGAGATTTATGATATGTTTGCTGATGGCAGACCAGGTAGGTAATAAGGATCAACAAGCTAGAAGAAAACAAACTGGTAGCCCATTTCCAAAAATAAAAACAGACAATCAGGAGTGTTCACTCGTCTAATTTTCTTCTCAAATTAAGAGATTGTATGTGTTATGATTTATAAAGTTTAGGAATGTTTCGTAAGACTTTATAATACATTCAGTTGGATTATTAAAAAGGTTCTGATGGAGCATGAGATGGTATGTTCAGGTGAGCTTGGGGTATAACCTTTGATGTTAAGGGGGCGAAACTAGCAATAAAATCTTCTTATGACATGGCCTTAAGCTTATCATAATTTGTGCTCACCTACTGTGGATAGTTCTAGAATTAGGTAGGTTGTTTGTTTGAGATAATTTTGTAACAGCTTAAATTTTAGAAGCTAAGAAAATAAATGACACAATCATAGCCAAAGTCAGTGCGTACCTCAACCAGATATGAAACTGAGAAATATACGTCTCCAAAGTAACTTTTCCAAGCCATCTAGTGAATAAAATCATCACAGATGATCAGGGAACATAATGTCAAAAGTCAGTAGAAAAGCATAAATTCACAAGGTTAACGAATATGCATAGCATGTAACTTACGCAAAAAGGGTCAGGCTGAAGTTCCGGAAGTACTGGGTAACATTCCTCAGAACAATGTATACCCTATCAATACCATAAAGAGTTAATTAATCTTCAGAAATACAGAGTATTCAAATGTTCTACTTAGGGAAGCATTACTTACGTTATTGGTATCCATGATGTGTAAGGATGGTATTTGTTGTAAGTAATCTTGTCCATCTTATATATGTACTCAAGCCACAGATACCCCACCTAGGAATTCAGGGAAGCTAGTGAGTATAAAAGACAAACAGAGAGGGAGAGCGATGCAGAGAGAGAGATGGGCAATACAAACCGTTACTGCAATTGAAGACACAGCGATTTTGATTGATATTCTACGTTTCATTTCCATTTCTTCCAGCTTCTCCATCCACCTTTCAACCTATTAAGTCATAAGAAAAAAAGCTCAGCAAAACACACCAAAAAAAAAAAAAAGAATACTTATTCCATATTCCAATTGCCTCTTGATTTCAAGTGGAACTCACTGTCGGGTGATAGTATGCATATATCATTCCGATAATCCAGATATAACGATCAAGCCCCGAGCGGAAATGCCACTCATGCAAGCGAGGTAAGTTAGGTTTTGCAGGATCAGTGTAGCCTACAAAAAATTTCGGGGTAGTTAGGCATAGAAAGGCCAGTAGTTGTGGCATTCTATGACATAAAACAAACTTTTGAGAGAAAACCAACCAAGAAATAAAGTGAATGGGCCCCAGAGGATCTCAAACATTCCAGGAACTTCCCATATCAGAACCACGACCAAGAAGCATGCAACGATCTTTGCTCCGATGACTAACCCAATTTCATTGTACTTGTGCAGAATACCGAGGGCCCCGTACACCATAAGAGTGAAGAGAGTATGCATTGGGCAAATGTAGTATAGCATGTAACTGTTATTGAGTATGATGCAACAGAATATGACCAAGAAATTAAGCCGCCACATCATCTGTTCGAAGGAATAAATTTCCGACTTGATCAGGCTCTTTGTCAAGACAAATTAAAGAGAGTGCATATCAGAAAATCCAAAGATATCATACCTGCGCAAACCTGGCAAGACTAAAATCCTTGCGCACATAATAGTACGAGAAGTTCCCGAATCCAGTCATCCAGACATATGCAGCAATAAACACTCGGATTGCATTATACAATTCCGTTGCAGCAAAGTAATGGTACATTAGAAATAGGACCTGTTAACATTGATAGGAAGAGTCATTATTTTCCCAGCAACACTTGCTCTTTGCGAAGTTATGCTATGATATTCACAACCAAAACATTAGGCAAAAACAAAGCAGACAAACCTGCATCCAGCCTTTCCACTCCTCAGTTTGGTGTCTGTTCAAGTAAAGAATGGGTTTTCCAGAGAACGGTGACCTGTCTTTGTGTACTGTGAAAGAGGTAATGGCTGCAACAATGATGAGAAGGAAGTAGAGGAACAAGAAAAGATCCCGGTTGTAGGTCTGCACAAAAGACAAAGGCTGGTTGTGAAGCAGAAGCCTACCATGAAATCTACAGTCATCTTTTTTGCTTGTTTCAATATATAAATTAAAAAGGAAACAGTACGGAGTAGATAACATAGAATAACAAGAGGAAGAGTAGGAATAAGAGATCAGTTGGTGGCAACACCTTTGTAGAAGAGCCAAAGACATCAGTGCGATCGCAAAGGTAAAAGTACACCAAAAGGAGACCAAACTCAGACCTGCAGAAGGCAGAAGACGGTCTCATGGAAAGTGATTCGACTATTACAAATTCAGTTATCTCCAAGTCAAAATCAAAATACTTACATGGCTCTAAGATTCAATCGGTTATCCAACAAAAACTGCTCATCCATCAAAAGGAACCTAGCAAGTACAAATGCACACAAATTTATTTCTCCCTCCCAAATGCACACAAATTTATTTCTCCCGAAGCATTAATGATCTGCAAACTTCCTCAACTAACCTGAATATAGGAGATGAAGAATGCAAGTTACGAGCCCTAGGAGATGCAGATTGAAGACCGCCTCCTTCCAATAGAACAGCTTTATCATCGTCTTTGACCACCTCAAGCCCCACTTCCACTAAACTGATATCCGAGTGCCTACTAGCAAACACCGTAAACTCAATAACACAAAACAGAAGCAAGAAACAGATACAGCAAGATCTTAACGCAGCAATGCCAAGAGCATCTCTCTGGTTCTGATCAAACAAGTCGTTCATGACCACCATACACGGCATTTTCACATCGTAACTATTGCATATCCGCAGAACAGACCTTAACTAAGACGATGAGAGTTTGAACTTTGAACTTACGCTTTGGCTACTCTCTTTCTCTTGTACTCCAGAAACTCGGAGTAGATATACGCAGCGAGCACAGGTATGATTCCAATGAAAAAGGAGACCTACGCATTAAAACAATACACAGTTTAGAGCAGAAGCAACGCATTATCCACAATCCAATTACCTACATCCTGCTAATCACAAAACGAAAGTCGGATCACTTGCATGCACCGACGAAACTCTCTCTAAGTCACGAATCGACCGAAAATTCCCAAAGTTACGCTTCGGAATCAAAGGAAGAACGAGATCTAGAAACTTAAACTACTAGGTTAGAGCAGGAATTGAGAGGCGCACCTGGCCGGGAGTGATAGGACTGGAGATCGCCATGAGTACGGCTGCAAGCGGAATTGGCAGCGATCTCAGTCGCTAATAATCAACACGCATCTGAGCTCGGGGAGTATGAAATGGCGTCTCGCAGATCTGATCGTAATCAGACCGGCTCTCGCTCTGGCCGACGGCGGAGTCCTAGATTTGCTCCGGTGGAAACGCCGGCGGCGAAGTTCGCTAGTAAACGCGGAAAGCTCTGCGACGGGGGCGGGAAGAAAATCTGAAAAGCCGCCGGCACGGGAAGGACCGAAGTCGCCGAGCGAAGCGCGAGAGACTCTGAGATGCAATAGAAGCAAATGAGCAGTGTTCGCTGGTACGGACTACGGAATTCAGAGTAGTTCGTTGATTTTGCGGGACTATCCAAAGAGAGGCCAACCGATTTTAATCATTTTCATTTTAATTTATTTCTCTATTTCACGAAATTACCGTGTTTTACGCACTGTTGAATTTCAATCACACGGCGGAGATGTGGTTTGGTTGAAATCAATTGCGTCGCTCTTTTACTGACTGATACTGAAGCTCGTCGCATGAGGAATAAAAGACGTTTCTAAAGCGTTTTGCGAATTCCTCATTTTTGTTAAGAAATGTGCATTTATTGGCCATGTGTTAGACCATTTCCATCCCTATAGCAATTTCTCATTATGGAAAGGTATCTAGCATAGCGTAATTTGGATTGGAATCCGGTTTAGTGAAGATTGCTACGGTTGAACCAAGGCCAAGTAATCAATTTGGACAGTGAGAAGAGCTGTCGGTAGGGCTGTCAATTTGGTTTTGATTTTTCGGTTTTAATCGAAATCAAACCATTAAAAGGTTAACGGTTTTGTTTTTTCGGTTTAAATCATTTAGCATATTAATGGTTTTGGTTTTTCCATTTTAAATCCCTGTTTTTTTGAAGGACCCTTGATTTCTTTGAAGTCAACCATGTTTTTGGTTTATGATTTATCGAAATCATTAAGGAGCATGATTGTCATACCGGTGGCGCCACCCGGTTGAACCTGGTTCAAACTATGCCGGTCATGAAACCGGCATGACACCACCGGTATGACCGGTATGATCGACTTACACATTCTAAGTAAAATGACATCATTTTCATGAATTTAATGAATAAAAAAATTAATTTATTTTTCATTTTATGAATGTAATAGTTAAAAGTTGATGATATTTGTTGGATAATAATTAAATTGTCCACAAATATGTTTTATATATGATTAAATACATTGGATATTAGTTGTTTTCACATTTTTTCAAATCGGCATGAACCGGCACAAACTAGTTATACCACCGGTCGTACCATTCCACTTGCCAAACCAGCACAACAATATAAAACGGTTTGACAACCTTGTTAAGGAGCTTATCGGTTTATGGTTGTGATGGACGAAATGTGATGGTGTTGCCACCAATTCCCAATAGGATGGGTAGCTATGTCAAATGGCTTGGTGATTGAATTGATGGATGAAATACACTGAATGGTGTTGCCACCAATTCCCAATAGGATGGGTAGCTATGTCAAATGGCTTGGTGATTGAATTGATGGATGAAATACACTGGATGGTGTTGCCACCAATTCCCAATAGGATGGGTAGCTATGTCAAATGGCTTGGTGATTGAATTGATGGATAAAATACACTGGATTGGTGGATTTATAAATCCAAGTTGCATCTAACAGTTGATTACCCTCCACTTCTTAAAATACCACCATTAGTGAAACCAAATCCAATTGAGGTGCCTAAAAACCCAAAGAATCCAACTCAACTTGAAGCCAGAGGAGATGAAACCGAAAAGACAAAGCTTGAACAAATCCCTAACTACAAGCTACAACAAAAATAACGAACCAAGTCTACTACTCCATAACATGCCAAGGATGACTACTTGGTCGGATAATTTGGATTCTATGCGGCCAGTCTAACAGCCACAAACGCCCACTTCATACCATTAATCCAAGAGATCAACCAACTGCCCAACTAAGAGTTAAATTTTGGTCACAACCCTAAATTAATACATCACCAACAAACACCACGATCGTATATCATCGCTTTGATGGCCTCACATCGTCCTCCCCACCATCATCGTCGTCATCATCATCATCATCCTCCTCATCGGTTTCATCCTTACTCACCCTCTTTCGCTTTGCAGAACCAGCAGACTTGCCCAGTTCATCGTCGTCCTCGTCAACTTCCTCGTCCTCATCCTCGCCATTCTCTTCCGGTTCAAAGTCGCTTGCATCTTCCTCCTCTTCAGGGCGCCCCACTGGTCGCAGGAGGTACTCGGTACTCAAATCCTTCTGCATTAGAACAAGCCGGACATGAATAAGGCTAAAGTTTCATTATCAAAGGTTGTAAAATCATACTGAATTATCCATCTTGTCCACACGGTTCGACCAGTAAAATGGACCAATATTATAAACAAAACCATCGGCCGTAGACCCCTTTAATATATTCAGATAATGATACCAAAACCTAAAACTTTGCCGACATGTTTGCAATTAGGGCAGAGAAAAAAAGTCACTGGTATCAGTCCAGAAATTAACTAAAACTTAACACAATCCATATTTAGGTCAATAAAGTAATCTAAAGGATCTGAAAGAGCTCCGGGTCTCAGATTAGAGGCGAATCTGAGGGTCCAGTTATTCAGCAACACTCTAAGCGAAACCAGAACGAAAGGTGATCTGAACAAGCAATTGGAGCAAGAAAACCCACTGAATCGAAAGAGCATAAATCTTTCATAGCTTAATCGACTAAGAAAAGTTTCAGATCTATGGGAATTTCGGAGGGAAACGCTAGCAGATTAAGAAATATGGATCTACAAGGTTAATTTTTTAATAATTGAAAAGTGTTTCAACGCAGGAGTGGTTACCTCTCCCTGCTCGTCGTCCTCGTCGTCGTCGTCGTCGTCATCGTCATCATCATCGTCCCCACCATCGTCCTCGTCTTCGTCCTCATCTTCGTCGTCGTCATCCTCGTCTCCGACGGAGTGGACGACAGGAGGGTCAGACGAGGGCAAGGCCTGCTCGGAATCCTCGTCGTCAACGCCTTCATCGTCGTCGTCATCTTCATCTTCATCTTCATCTTCGTCGTCATCGTCTTCGCCGTCGTCCTCCTCGTCGACGTCCTTATCAACAAAGGCGGCATGCTCCTCCGCCTCTCCGTCGTCAACCGCCGGAATCATCAGTTCCTCCTCTGCCTCAACCTCCTTCAAAACCATTCCTTCCAGCTCGGCGATTTTCATGTTGAAGTGGAGAGATAAGAGAGAGAGAAGAATCGAACAACTGGGGGTTTCTATCTTTATTGGAGATAATAAAAATAATTATTAACGGAAATAATCCGAATTGGAGAGCGCAAAAGGGAAGAAGGGGTGAAGGTCAGGGAAGAGACGAGCTTGTTCGTTCAATGAACCAGTAGCTTCTGCAACTTCGATCTCAGCCGTTGAGACGCGGGATGACACAGATCGATGACGTGGAAGGAGATCCGACGGTGGAGGCTCGAGAATATTGTATTTCTTAGTAGATAACGTCATAGCGTTTGCGCTGCGGCTGAGTACCCCGTTTTTTCTTATTCAGTCAGGTGCTTGTCACGTGCGAGAGCGCGCTTGGAGTTGGAGGCTGAGGCATCTAGGGTTAGGGTAACGTCACCTCCCGCTAGAGAAGTCGCCGCAAATGGATCTTGGGCTTAATAATAGAATGGGCTTTCAACTGCTTACCCATACTGCCGATCCAGCCCAAACACGAATTTAGTGCTCTGTAGTGTTTTCCCATCCCGGATCTCTACAAAGAAAGTATTTCGGCTAAAAAATCTGACCTAGTGAAAGAGAGCGGATCTGGTGACTAAGGGGGGTGCTTAGTCACTTGACTAAGCCCCTCCCAGCCCTTAGATCTGGACACTTCAATCTAATGGTTAAAAAATGGGAAGGGTTATTTAATTAATGATAGGGGTAGTTTGGGTATTATGGAAAATTACGAAGTATACAAACCGGATTTACAATCAATACAAACCATACAAACATACGAAAAGTACAAACTAGAGCGACAAAACATACAAACATTACAAAAGTATGAACTGTACAAACAATACAAACTAGACCGACAAACAATACAAACCATACAAAAAGAAAAAACAACCGGGTTGACTTTTGAGGCTCCATCCCTATATAGAGGGGCTCCTTCCCAAAGTCAACCCGGGTGTTTTTTAGACATACAAACAGTACGAACATGGTGGACAAAAATGACAAACTAGACCGACAATCCATACGAACGGGAAAAAACACCCGGGTTGACTTTAGAGGCTCCATCCCTATATAGAGGGGCTCCTTCCCAAAGTCAACCCGGGTGTTTTTTAGACATAAAAAACATTACGAACATGGTGCACAAAAATGACAAAGTTTACAAACATGGTTAAAAAAAATAACAAAGTTTACAAACATTACAAAAAAAACCGACAAACATTACAAAATAACAAAGCATACAAACATTACAAAATATGTCAACAAACATCACAAAATTAACACTGTCGCCGGGAAATTCTTCTCCGGCGACGATGTTCGTTGAAACAAATTTTCGATCAGAAAATTGTCCGACCAAAAAATCTCTCTCTCTCTCTCTCTCTCCCTCCCCCCCCCCCTAGGAATTCAATTCCCCTGGCCGCGCAATTATAAAAAACGGAGACGGGGAGGCGACGGCCGGCCGGCCGGGCTGGGTTTTTATTTTATTTCTTTTATAATTAAAAAGTAAAAATAAACATGCAATTACTACATTGCCCTTCATTAAATTGAATTAATAAGAGCCCTTGGATTTTAATGAGGTGCAAGGGTGGAGATTCACTTAGCCATGTAACTAAGGGGACCCCCTTAGTCACCACATCTTAGCCCCTAGTGAAAAGGATGATTTTCGATCAATGCAATTGAACCACGACGATAAGGCAAATTACGATTAAGCCCTAATCGTCCGAGCATGCAATGTGCGCTGGCGGGACCCATGTTTCCAAATTCCAATAGTTTTAGCAAAAGGACAAGAGCACCAACGCGTATAGCCGCCCTTTCTTACTAGCTTTAGCTTAACCTTCGCCTTTATTATTTACCCTCCTACGCCTACCTATTGGTTCAACCGGCTTTCATATTCCAACAATCAGCCAATGAGTACGTTACTGCATTCACAGTGAGCAAGCTGTCGCACCACGAACCACGGGCTCGAACGAGCAGCAGTGCAGCACCCGAGCCTCTGATACTCCTCTTCAGTCTTCATCCAGCTGCATACATTAACATTCAGTCTTCAGCATACAACAATCTAACTGTTTGGCTATACTCATGGGTTCATGACTCTTGGTCATTTTCACTTGTAAAAGTTACAAATCGATCACCAAATTAGCGAAGTGCAACATTACACAAACCATGTACACCACATCCCATCAAATCGAAGCCTCATGGCGTTGTCAAGTCTTTTTGTTCATTCCATTCAAGATGCCAAGCAAAAAGGATTAATGTATAAGGACCATCATTAAGATTTACAAATAACACATTTTAAAATTCCTAAAACATTACTCTAAATAGTCTTTTAACCCAAAACTCCTCCTAAACAAACTCAACCCACTTGATGAACAACAGAACGATAATAATATTCCTTTTTTCCAGTTTTCCTCCTCCACATAGCAATACTGGGGGTTTGCTTTTCTTCTTCTTCTTTTTTTTTTTTTCACAAAGAGATGAGGGACAAAAGAGATTTGACCTGTAAGGGGTTCAATTTCTGGGTTCTGGGTGAGCCCTCCAAAGAACGCCAAGAAAACAACCTGTTCTTCCGTTTCTTCCTATCGCTTCGATGGCCTGTGGTCGTCGTCGTCCTCCTCCTCCTCCTCGCCATCATCGCCGCCATCACTGGCATCGTCGTCAGTGTCATCCTTGCTCGATCTTTTCCGTTTTGCAGCGGCAGATCTCGAAGCTTCATCTTCCTCCTCATCATCGTCCACCAAGTCCTCTTCTTCCTCGTCGTCTTCATCCTCGCCGTTCTCCTCGAGTTCCAGGTCTATCGCGTCTTCCTCCTCTTTTGGACGCCGGCGAAGTATGTATTCGCTTCCCAATTCCTTCTGCAAAAAAGGATATACAGATCATCGGGAGCGAGAATCGTCAGATCTGGTGGATTTTTTTTTTATCGACTCAGTACTTTACGGAGATGGAGCGTTTATGTAGGAGATCCGTAAGAAAAAGTCAAGATCCAAATTGAGATTCAATCAATAAGAGGATTACCTCTGCTTGATCTTCTTCGTCGTCGACTTCATCGTCCTCGTCGTCATCCTCACCTCCATCGATGTCCTCTTCGTCGTTCTCGTTATCGCCGTTGAGTTCGTCATCATCGTCGACCGACTGGCCAACTGGCGGGGCCGAGGAGTTCAACGCCGTCTCTGGTTCGTCGTCCTCAACACCTTCCTCCACGTCGTCGCCGTCGCCGTCGCCATCCTCGTTCTCATCGTAAATCTGGTAATGAAAAGCCATCTGCAATTAGTTTTGAGAGTAAACAGAGGAATCAGTTGTATAATCAAAGATCGAGTTGGAGAATCGAGTGTATTTACCACTCCCTGCTCGTCGTCGTCGTCGTGATCGTCGTCGTCGTCTCCACCTTCGGCTTCCTCGTCGTTCTCTATCTCACCTTCGTCGTCATCGTCTTCTACCGACACGACAGGTGGACCGACGGCGGCGTTCAAGGCCTGCTCATCATCGTCAACGCCTTCATCCTCGTCGGCATCGTCATCTCCGTCGTCGTCGGAATCGTCGCCGTCGTCGTCATCGTCTTCCTCATCATCGTCGACGTCCTCTACGTCTTCCGGTGCTTCGACCTCCGCCCCTTCCTCCGTGTCGCTGTCGTCCTCGTCATCGGAGGAGGAAATTGCAATCACCTCCTCCTTCAAATTCTTCCCTTCCAGCTCCGTGATTTTCATGTTATTTCTTTTTTCCGTCCAAGCGAACAGATCGGGAAAATCTAACGGAAGGCAATCAAATTTCCAATCTCTTTTCCAGGAAAATAATAATAATTGAAATCAGAAAAAAAAAATTGGGAGCTGGCTGAGCGAAGAGAGAGGGGCAGGTAGGAGGAACAGAGACGAGCAGCTTCGTGTGTTTGAACCAGTAGCTTTGCAGCTCCAATCTAGGCCGTCGAGAACCGGGGTGACGCGGATCGATTAGCTGGAATGAGATCGGACGGTGGAGGTGGGAGAATATGTATTTTTTTAGAGCAGCCAGTGCGGCTGCGGCGCTTGCATACTAGTTTTTGCACTCGTTTTTTCTTTGTGCGAGGCAGGTGTGTATCACGCGCGGGAAAACCGATGGATGCTTCTAGCCAGCGCTAGGGTTTTCCTTCCTTCCCGCAATCCCGCTGAAATCTAAGCCCATTTTAAAAGTTTAGTCATGGCTCGCATCTAGTTTTGGGCCGCCTTTCATTACAGACAAGTACATCAAAACAAACTATCGTCAGCCCAGCCCATAATCGAAACCCATATTAAACAATTATTCCTGGCTGGCCGCGTTTCTATTGCAGCACTGCTTTGTCAGATTAAAGGTGTGGTTTGCTTAATGGATTCAAAAAACAAGTTTTATTTTGGAAAACTCTAATCTTATGATGAATTTGTTGATATTATCGATATGAAAGAGTATTGATGTTTATTGGATTTTATTATTGATTTGTTTGATTAGATCATGGCTTTATGGTAATACTTCAAATCTTATCTCTTATTCTTAATATGAGATTTGCAAGTTTCGTAGGGTTCACAAAGTTGGCCACTGAAGTTCATAGACGCCATGAATTTGATCCCTAACAAACTTCAAATAAATAATGACTTTGTGCAAAGTCCATGATGAATTTGATTTGAAACCCAATTCTCTTATCTAAACCCATGATGAATTTGATTTGAAACCCAATTCTCTTATCTAAACCCATGAAGCAAACAACCCTTAAATATGATTATATCCCTCCTAAAAGAGTAGTGTATAATCCGATATTGTATATCAATAAATGCCACCTCTAAAAACATGAATAACATGAACTCTTCCATTACACTATGGAAGAAAGCGTGTTGGTGGTCTAGGTCATTCTGGCTAAAAAATGGCTAAATTGCAAGTTTGGTCAATTGAATTACTAGTAAATTTCACGTTAGCCACTAGAATTACTTTATTATATCTGTAGTCACTTAAATTAATTCAATGGTTCAAGTTTGGTCACTCTCTGTTAGTCTCCGTTAACTTTGGCTGACGTGACAATCAATTATGAGAGTTGACCATTAAATAAGTGACGTGGCAATTATAAAATAATAAAAAAAAAGAAATTTAAACTTTTTACAATTGCCACCTCGTTATCACAATAAATTAAAAATAAATAAAACAAAACAATTATAATTAAATTGAACAAACCCTCATCGCCCTTCCTCTCCCCGGCCAAACCCAGTAAGGGAAGCTCCCGCCGAACTTCTCGCTCCAGCATCGACTCCCTCATGGACCGCCTTAGCGCCTCCACGCCACCAAGAACGCCACCAGATTGCGGATGCGATTATTGGGACCGAGCAGAAGAAGACTACCAAGTTTAGGATTGCGGTTCAGTTGTTGGATAGCGCCATGGGAGAGAGAGAAGAGAGAGATACTAGAGCTATGGAGGATTTAATGGTGGAGAAGCTGGTAAAAAGAGGGAAGTTGAAAGGCGTTCTTTTATTGGGTATCTCGACCTGCTCCAACAGCAGGTCCCTCTCTCTCCGCATGATTTAATGGTCACTTCTTTTATAGGATTTCGCTAGGGTTTCTCGACGGGAGGCTGCCGGCGAAGGATGGGAAGATGGATAGGAGTGGGGAAGATGAAAGGTTTCTGATCCTTGACGGCGACCAAATTCCTAATCGGCGTCGCAGTCGTGCCTTCCGTATTGGTCCTATTGGAGAAGAAGATCGACTCTCAACTGAAGGTTGCCACTGGCTATCTCCGGCAGTGGATCCATCCTCTTCCATTCCTATCACTGCCGCCTCGCTCCCCGCGCCGCCGACGTGGCGAGGAGGCACGTGAGGTGGAGGAGGAGCAAGACGAAGAGGAACTATAAGAAGACAGCGACGAGGTGGAGGTGGAAGCCAAATCAGACTCCTCTGATTTGCGAAGTGGCGATGAGGAGGAGGAAGACGCGGCGGGGTGCAGGCTGAGCTTTTCGCGGAGACAAGCGGAGCACACGCCTGGGGACTGTTGGTGCTTTGGTGCTTCTTGCACCTGATGTTGACGGCGCCGGTGGCAAGAATATTCGTGGGGATGCGTCGGGCAGTGGGTTACATTTATTTTTATTATTATAATTGTTTTATTTTATTTATTTTTAATTTATTGTAATTATGAGGTAGCAATTGTAAAAGTTTAACTTTTTATTTTATTTTATAATTGTCACGTCACTTATTTAACGGTCAACTTTCAGAGTTGACTGACACGCCAGCCAAAGTTAACGGAGACTAACAGAGAGTGACCAAATTTGAACCGTTGAACTAATTTAAGTGACTACAGATGGAATAAAGTAATTCTAGTGGCTAACGTGATCTTTACTAGTAATTCAAATGACCAAACTTGCAATTTAGAAAAAAAAAAGCAACACAACTTTAAAATCAAGTTGAGTTTCTACTTTTTTATGAGGGTTGTATAAGTTTTAATTTTGTTGTTAGATGCTCCTTAAAACTTTCAAACTTGAGATCTCCAAATTGAAAATCAATGATAAGATCACTAGACCAAATCTTTGTTCGCTAAATTAACTTCGACTTATCTATCCCTGAGGTGTCAAGCTACCTCATACCTCCTAATGGTACCTCTAAGTTCGTCTCTAACAATGGAATATAGCTCTGCAAGATCATAGCGTAAACACCCAATAAACGACTATGTCCGAAATTTGCACAACCCATATGTTTGCTGCTCGTTGGGAGGACACTTCTACATCGCCAATCTCTAGCCCAACGTTCATGTTTTTGACGTGATACCGTTCTCGAATGTAGAAAGATGTCTGCGTTTTGTAGCATACGGTAGTTTTAAATCATAATAATAAAGGAAAGTATTGTAGGACATCGCCACGTTTTCACATGTAATTGCCTACACTCTTTCTACCTAAACGTTGCACTCTGAACATAAATGAAAGATGTGCTGCTGACCATAACGTCGCCGTCGACCGCAACATTATACAATCGCTTCGAATCCCCCGCCGGCTCACGTGGCCTTACCATACACGCGGCCGCATATTATATATTCTCCTCCCACTAGCTAAATTCCCACATTAGTCTAATCAATTATGTCATCAGTCCAAAATCCAGATCCTCCCTAATCTCCAATCCTCCTTTCCTCTCCTTGCAAAAATCCACACACACAAAAACAAATAAGGGGGGGGGGGGGGGGGGGGGGGGGGGGGGAAAATCCTCTGGAACAGGGAGCGATTCGTAATTCTCATCATCATGTGTCGGTGGCTGTACCCGTCCTACTTCCGGTGGCCGGAACTCGGCCTCTCCCTGCCGCTATCCAGCTTCCGGTGGCCGGACTTCGACTTCTCGTCGTACCTGAGAACGGGAGCGTGGTGGAGCCACCAGCCGATCAGCCCCCTCCGGTGGCTGGAATTCTCGATCGACGAGATCCTCTGGAGCTTGGCGACGGCGGTTGAGTCGGTGGCTCTCGTGGCCATGCTCTGCTACTTCTTCCTCTTCTGTGGATGCACTCTGTGACGACTTGTCTTCCATCGCTTCAATTCCGTTTGTCTGCTCTGTGTAAATACTTAGGATGATTACCAAATCAATCATTTGATTTCTGTTAGTTAATCTGAAGTTTATAATCCTGATTAGCACTAGAAACAGATTTGTTTTTAGGGCCAGGGGGGGATCGTTTCATCGTATTATCCTCTTTTTTCTTCCTTAATGGTATAAGACAGTAGAGCGTAGAAGGTTGCGTTTTCGAATTCATCTCCCGTTGTTTTTCTTGTTGTGCCTATCGGTCCAAGCCCAAGTTGACTGTGTGAATAAGTGGGTAAAGCCAAAACGTGGAAGCGAAAATTCTTTGTATGACAAGAAAACACCAAGATGGCCATAAACTCTATCATCATGTAGCTGTGGGTGAATCCTGGAGGTGGCTAAGAGAATTTGTTTGTATGAACTATGGATATAGGTCGTGTTCTTATCTCGTTTGTGATACTGTTATTACGTCGGTTTCCATTACAATCAATCTATTTATGTAGATAATCATAGATTCTTCAAGTGTCCAGTAATTATCAAACTAAATAAGCTTAAAATTTATGAACCATACAATACAATATCATAACCAAATCGTTCAAATTAATACAACAACCAACTTAACCAAAGTAAAGTTGAATCGGTTTGGTTAATTGGTTAATCAGAATAACCAATATAACATCACATTATCATCAAGTGAGGAAATCTCCGATTAATGCATCAATTCGCAATCTATATAATGAATAAAAGATATCTTACTGTCAATAGAAGTATTCACATTACAAAAATATATGTCAATGGTATGAGGTTAATGAATTATTGTATTTTGTAAATTGACTTATTCTCTTAGCAATTATCATAGGCTGATGTATACCTTTCTTTCAAAATTTTATCTAACACATTGTATGAGTTTTATCTAAAATAGGAGTTCATATGATGTGGTCTACACTCGACATATACAAATATACAGTATAGAAACAATATTAAACTTTATTTTTTATGAGCCTGAGAGGGAGGAACGTTTGACACATGAGTGGTTATGCAAATTATTAAGTAAGCTTATATAATATTTATGAGATATATGATTAATTACTTAACTGGTTAATTTGGTTTGATTGGTTAGGAGTGTTTGAAACCAAACCAAATCACCTAAACCAAACAAGCTAAAAAAATTTAACCAAATCAAACCGTTATCCAAATTAACCAAACTAAATTATCGAAATACTACCGATTAAAATGATTACCACGATAACCACACCGTTTCAACACCTCTACTTCTACATACCCGGCCAACAGTCTCTTTCGGGTTGTAAACAGAATAGCTTTGTGTATGAGAGAGACGTACATCGGGCATTTGGGCTGGATCAAATGGTGAATGGAAGCGTTGGCCCTATCCAAAAGGAGGATGGAGGCCTTTGGCCATTGATTCTTGCTCATGGGCCTTAATTTATTGATTAGGATGTAGGGTTGGCAACCAATCGGATCGGCAGCGAGGGATCTGTGGGCGAAAGACAGCGAACACTTCTTTAGTGATGGGCCGGATCGATTGGTTTGATTGGTTTGATTCATTAAAATTTTATTGTATTTTAAGTGACATGGATACTGACCGGACAAAGATAACAAATTTTTGGATAAGAATGAACAGAATGATTGATTTGTTATTCGTCTAAACGTACTTTCCTGAAACGTGAAAAATTAAACTTTAGTGACCGTTTTCTACTAAGTGATAAGCCTTGTGGTCGTTTATGATAATTATCGATAGATTTGTATTAAATTTTGTTTAAGGTAAATACGTCAAATTAAAAAGCAACGGGCCAAGACACTAGATGGGCTGAGCGACTGAGCCCCACAATTAAAAAACTTGGTTCAGTTAAGACTTAAGACTAGAGGTGGCAATTAGGATCCAAATCCATGAATCCAATCCAATCCATCCACCAAATTTTCCACTTAATCCAATCCATTTAAATCCAATCCATTTGATCCAAATCCAATTGGATTGGTGGATTCATGAATCAATCCATGGATCCAAATGGCAAATTACAATTTGGTACCTATATTTTTTATATTTTACATTTTGGTACCTAAAATTTGTATTTTTATACGAAAAAAATCATTGGAAAATTACATTTTGGTACCTAAAATTTTTCATTATGACATTTTAGTACTTAAACTTTTCAAAATTTACATTTTGGTCCAAGCCTTGGATGTCATTTGGATTCATGGATCAATCCACCAATCCATTTGATCCAATCCATGAATCCACCAATCCATTGAATCCAATCCATTTGATCCATGGATCTACCAATCCAATCCATGAATCCACGAATCCGATCCAATTGCCACCTCTACTTAAGACCAAGCCAAATGAGCCACCTTCTTTTAGCAAGTCGACTCCAAGTTACCGGCCAACGGCGTCGGGAATAGCGTCCTGGGAGATTTCCAATACCTCATCTTAGAGCATTCACATTGGTGATTTTCCATCGCTTGCAAGATAAGGTAACAACTTATATGTCACTTGTATTGGTAGTGGCATTGTCTTATTGATGTAAGCAGGGGCGGACCTAGGACACCCTAAAATTTGAGGGGAAAATTATTGAACTCTCGGTAGTATTTGGAGTCTAGAAAAAAGAAAAAGCAAAAAAAGAAATAATGGTTTATAGGATTTGAACTCATGGCACCCTAGTTATTAGCTAATATGCTTTCCATTATACTATAACTTATTTCTTATTATAAAATTAAGAGTATAATTATAAACATATGCATTTCATCCCAATTTGACATAAAAAAAGTTTCGGAATCGACTAGGCGATCAGTTCGTAAATGATTGTCTTGTAGGATATAATGGAAGAGATTTGTTGAGTATTGTAGACACTGAGTGTATTTTACAATATTTTCAAAATATGACAATACGACGGGGACTTTTGTTGCAACTTGTATTAATCGAATATTTTTTTCGTTGAATACTATTCACATATTTTTCATATTTAAGAATTATTTAATATTATTTTGAAAGAGAACACCCCTAAAATAAAATTCTTGGGTCCGTCAGGATGCAAGTAAAGTGTGCTTGCAAGGTTGCAAATTTGCACAAAATGAAAGTTGGCTACTTTTCTCTTGTTCTTTTTGAACAGTAATCAAGCTATTGCAGCATTCATAGAAGTCTCTAGGGAGTCATTGAAAGATCTTTCACTGAATATTTTCAAGCAGATGAGAGTTTATTGAAGAATATTTTGATGATGATGACCTATGATATTTGAGGATTCAGATAAATAGAATTGTATCAAACTCAGGGTTTCATGATTTTTCTTTTTTCCTGTTTATCTCATGATGGTTTGACTCAACACATGGTCCTTTTCCTTTCGATTCAATTTTGATTTAGTTGGTCTTGGCAGATCCATCAACAAAGCAATCATATTCATTGTCCGTCTTTTTTGCTATCAGGTTAGCCACAATACTGCACTATGAATTGCTAGACGAGCAAGAAATTTGCAGAGTTTGGATCTATCATGGTGCTGGAACCTGTCACTGAAGGTGCTCAAGATCTTTGAGTGTGACCAGGTAACCAGATATATAGAACAAAATATCAGGCACACCAATTTTTCCAGTAGTGGACATCATTGGGATGAAGATGTGTGATTGTGTTTTTCTTCTGGAATAGCTAACAGATGTTCTACTAAGTGGTCACTCGATTCCAGTAGTGAAATCATTGGGATGAAGATCTCCAGTAAATGTCAGGGTGAGTGATGCACATGCCTTCCCTGCCCATTATACATCAGTGCTCTGCTATTTTAATGATCTCTGCATGTAATTACCTTACTGTTTGTCTCAAGGGTGGGAAGTAAAACTCAAATTATGAAGGGTGCAAGTAACCTCCTTTGGCATTACAAATAGCGAACACTAGAGTTATGAATGAATCTAATGAGGCAACATGTATTTGTATAAAACTGAAGGGTGCAAGTAACCTCCTTTATCATGCCACCGTTAATTAATTCAACGATTGCTATATAATTTAAAACTCGCCCAAGTATTGAGATGACATCACCTTGATGTAAGCATGACATATGACATATGACATGTTCAAGAGGGACGAGAATATTACATCGCAACTTCATCAAGTGATTACTTTGTTATTTGATGTGCGACTTAAGTTATTAATATTTACTAATAATCTGATTTCTCGCGTTCAATGAATGAAGAACCTTACAATAAAAGATGCCTTAGTAACTGTTTAATTTGACATCCAGATTGAAACAAAACTACTGATAATGAGGTGTAGTTGTTAATTGGTTATGCTTCTTTTATGAATGAAGAAATCTCATTATTTCCTTATTGCATTGTTGGTTTAGTTGTACGTTTGCTCCATTATTAAAATTTTTCAGATTATATTATTTGCATGAGTAATAACCTTTTAAAATGAGACAAGTAGTTTGTTGAAGGTTAATTAGATTATACACAAAAACTTACGCTTTTACGCTACGCGTTTACGTTTTATGTTTTACGTTTTCTCATGTTTCCTCTTCCGCGTAAAATTGCGCATTTGATTACATTGAGTATAAGGGAAAGGAAAATAAAGAATCTCATTTTTAGGCCATTTTGCAAACTTGCAATTACAAAAAATAAGGGTGGCTATACGGTCCGGTCCGGTTAAATTGACTCGAATTGACCGATTCCAGTCTGGTCTTTTCGAAAATATAAGGATCAAAGACTGGATTGGATACAATCCGATCTTGATCCGGTCTGGTCCTAATTCGGTCTTGATTTTAGATTGAACTTGTGGGGATTTTAGTGGCCTCAGGCCTGAAAGGGTGAGGAGTTGGTTAAGTTTTGGGTGTTGGGCTCTCTTATCCGGTCTTTATCTAATTTCGGTCCGGCCCCGAATGATTTTTTTCTACCTCAAATCTAAGTCCGAGGATGCGATTGGATTGTTTGCTATCTGGTCCCGGTCTGGTCTCGGTCCGGGTTATACAGTCCGGGTCGAGTAAAACCAAAAAGTCTGGACCAAATAGCCATCCCTAACAAAAACTCATGCCATGTCATCTTGAAATAGGAAGTGTAAGCAATGTAGTCAAAATCTCGAATTTAATCTTAAAATCTTACGATTTTACGATCCTGCCTATGGGTTCCGATCCTGTTTTTACTATAAAATCTTTGAACCTTAATATCCCTTAAAATCTCGTTTTAAAACTCTAAAATCCTTTAAATCTATGATTTCTACAATTTTGTACGATTTAAAGGTTCATCAATTGGAACAAAATTAGACCACTCAAGTTAGGTTTTGTCCATAAAACGAGTCAAGTTTACTTCCCCCGACCCAACATAATGAACAACATTACCTTAATCCAATAAACAACCCTCAATTTATTTTCAGTCTCTTCCTCGTATCTTAAAATGGTGCATTTCATCGAATTAACAATCGAAGAAACTAAACAACCCAAATTTAAATTTAAATTCAAATTTAAGGAAAATATATCTACAGCGATTACAAAATTAATTCAATAAACCCGCTGCTTTAGTAGTAAATCCCCCCAATTATGTCACTTAATTAATTGTTGACATCTAACAAGATTCGGGGATGTCTCTTGAACGTTCCTTAGTATGATTATAAAAGCCACAAAACTCAATGGGCTCCTCAAGCTATAGCCAAAACCCCATCAGAAACCCAAAAAAAAAAAAAAAAAAAACCCCATGGCGATTCCCACACAACAACTCGCCACTCTCGTTGCCGTCTCCTTCCTCCTTCTACTACCCCACCCCTCGGCCGCGCAACCGAACCGCCTCATCAAAGAAACCTGCAAGAAAACCCCCGACTTCGACCTCTGCGTATCGTCCCTCTCCGCCGCCCCACGAGCCGCCAGAGCCACCACCGTCAGGGAACTGGCGCTCGCCATGATCCACGTGGTCGAGGCCAGGGCCACTACGACGTCGCTTTACATCAAGCGGCTTGCCAAGACGGCGTCGTTTCGCGGTGAAGAAGAAGCCGCTCTCAAAGCTTGCGAGTTCTACTACGGGATTATCATCGACTACGATGTCCCCGGAGCCGTGACGGAAGTGAGATACGCGAATCCGAAGTTTGGGGTGGACTCGATGGTGGATTCGGCCAGGGAGGCGGAGTTGTGCGAGGAGGAGTTTCGTGGGGGGAATAAGTCGCCGTTGACCGGACGGAATATGGCCGTCCGGCGACTCGCCAACGTGGCGGTGGCCATCATCAAAAGTATTCATTGATAATGTATACAGTTGTACGTTCGTTCATCATATCGAAAATTTGTTATGTGTTTTTAGTTTTTTGTTAAAGCAAATAAAACGTGATTCGTCAGCTATGTATGACGGGCTTCTCACGATTGAGAGGTTTGATTTAACGCTAAAGTAAAAAGGTAAAATTCTACCGCATTGGTGAAGGCAGGATTCGAAAGTATCCGTGTCCTCTTTACAGAAAAAAATATAAAAATAATTATTTAATAAATATAATTAAAATGAATGATGTTCAAATAATTTGTTCATAGATAATAAAAAAATATCCAAATCAATTATTATTTTTTTTTTTCGTTGAATTAGCCGCTTTTTATTCCCAAAGTGAAACTAATACAACGAACACGGGATAATATCCCAAAGTCTCAACATCTCACTCATAGCACTATATCACCCCCCCCCCTCCTGTACCTACTGTGTAAGTAAAAACACAACTGAAAATAAAAGCAGCTAAGCTACTTCTGTGACAAGCAAAAACACAAGTCTATATATATCCCAGTACCCGCAAACTATCTCGAGCCCCTCTGTCTCCATAAGTGAGAAAGACAAGCTCCTGCCTGATCAACTCTGCAACCTGTTTAGGTGAGTGACTAGTATTACCATGTATAACCCCACATCTCTCCTTCCAAATGAATGACACAAATAAACACCACATAAGCGCTTTCCAGATGTTTGAATGAGAGCGCTGTGTTGAAACAAGATCATGAACCATAGAATCCCAGGTAGGACGAAGAAGGGACCTGCAATTTGCTTCAGCAGCAAGAACTGTGGCAAACTGACATTGAGTGAAAAGATGCCCTCTGCTCTCTGTTCCTTGATCACAAAGCGGGCATGCCGCATCCCTTATTCTCCCCCAACACATTTTTTCATAAACAACCACAACACATTTTTTTGGTATTATGAAAGTAATGCACAATATTCTTTCTGCACTTGCAGTTGCAACAGGTAGTTGCAAAACTAACTTTAGAAGACAAAGAAATCGATTTTGGGGTATATTCCAATTCAATTTTTTTTACAGTGTGATAATTGATTTATATTCATTTTAAGCCCGAAATAACTTGTACTGTAGTGGTAAAACACTCTTATATCACCTAGAGATGATGAGTTTGATCCTTGATTGATATATATATATATATGGTATTTATTTTTATCCAAAAATTACCAGTGCCACGAACCCCCTTGACTTCGCCTATGATCCTATTCCTAGGTGATTTGATTAAATTACATTTAATTTATAAAAAAACGGGTCGAGAAAAATATCAATGTTCTCCCCAGGGTAGTTATCATAAATGGTCACAATTCTATTCACTTTGTACAAAACGGTCACAATCCTTTAATTTTGTACATTTCGGTAAAACAAGTTTGAACAAATAACAAAGTGGTCAATCCGTCCAATTCCGTCCAAAAATCTGTTATCTTTTCTCCAGTCAGCATGACACATCACGTAAAATATTAATAAAAATTGATAACAAACCCAATCGACCCGGGTCAAACCAAACCTAGAATTAAAATAAAAAATAAAAAAAGGAATTGAAGACCTAGGTCGCCGCCGAGTTCTGGCTTGCTCCTGGTCATCTATTGATCTTCTCTGCAGGGGAAACCAAAAATCATTCTTCAGTTCCCCTACTCGGCGTCGTCGTCTTCCCACCTCCTCTGCTCGGCTCGTCGTCGTCTCCCGCCTCCCTACTCGGCGTGTGCATCACCATCATCATCCACCTCCCCGGCTCGGCGTCGTTTTTCATCTCTCCTGCTCGGTGCTCAAATCGTCGTCGCCCACCTCCCCTCCGATCTATACCCCTCTCTCGCCTTCCCAAAAATTAACTTTCTATTTGCCTATCTAGTCACCGTGAAGTGCCCATCTCCCTCCTCCAGTGCACGCTCGTCTCGGCTGGTGGAAATCTCATCGGTGCTCCGACCGAGCAATATGGACGAATCGGGGAAGTCCTTGTGGCGCGTCGAGGTGGAGGAAGAGGGGAAGGGAGCGCTGCGGGGTAGAGGTGTCTTTGCTATTGTTGATTTCGGGAGGAATCGGAGGTATGGAGGAAGCGGCCAGAGAAAGGAGGAGATTTCCGATGGCGGAGTGGTGGAGAAGAACACTATCTCTCAGTCACCGGCTTTCTCCAATTCTGGAAGGGGTGGTAAAGAACGACCGGTTGGGTTGTGTGGGTTAAGTGGGGTGATTAATTAATTTTATAATTAATAATTTTGATGATGTGTCATGCTGACTGGGCAAAAGGTAACGGAATCTTGAACGGAATTGGACGGATTGACCAAATCGTTATTCGTTCAAACCTTTATTACCGAAATGTGCAAAATTAAAGGATTGTGATCGTTTCGTACAAAGTGAATAGAATTGTTACCATTTATGATAACTACCCGTTCTCCCCACCTCTCTTATAACCGCTCTGAAACAGGTTAAATAAATGAGTGGAACCGATTTTTTTTTTTTTTGAAGTGCTCCCTCTATATCATGCTTTCTTGCACTCAAATTCTCATAGCGGGTCGCAAATTACAAAACCATGTAACAACATTCTCTTTTCCTCATTATTAATCCAAAAACATGACATTAAAAATCACTCAATGCAACAAATTAATGATTCCAATGGCCACACCGGCCAGACGACTCATCAGCTGAGCTCCACCAGTAAACGGTTCCTTGTCGGCCAGCTGTTCCAAGCACAGCTCCACGTCGGACTGAACATCTCCGACCTGCTCCTTCGCCTCGGCATAATTCTTCGAATTCAGAGCCGCAATCCCCTGTGGGATCCTGTTCTCCAGAATCCCCTTGAATGTGTCGACGCACAAACCGTAGCACCGGTACAAATACGGGTCGGTGACATTGGCTAACAGCTTACCAACAATGTCTAAAGTGACGTTGGTTTTGGCTGTAATGGCGTCGATCTCTATCAGAGCCAGTGTCTTGACATCGCCGGCCGCGGCGGATCGAGGGTCGGACGAGAGAGACGAGAGGCAGAGAGCGTCGTCGTCGGTTTTGTTGCAGGTTTGAACCAACAGGGTCGATGGGACCGCGGTTGCGGCGGAAATGAAGAGGAGGGGAAGGGAAATGAGAAGAGCGCAAATGTAGGAGGAAATGGAGGTTGAGTTTTTCATTTTTTTTAATTGTGTTTTGGGAGTAATGTTTGTGTTGTTTTGGATGTGAAGGGTGAAAAGGAGGGGTGAAAGATGGTGATTTATTTATAGTGGAAGGACTTGGGGGGAAAAAAGGGATGGATATCCTTTATGGTTTAATTGGCAGGTTGATTATTGTTTTACCATGTTGTATTTATTATGTGAATGTAACTTTTACCATATTGTGTGAACGCAAGTTTTTAATGCAGGGCGTATGGTATTTTTCTATTATGATCTTTCTTTAATCTTGAAGTTACTTTTGGAAATGAATATGGGGTGTATAACAAAAATGTAAATATAGAGATTGTAAATATATGGATGGAGTTAGATAGCATGTATAATGAGGGTTAGGGGGAATGTATGTTTTCGACTTTCGGTGCATGATTTTATGATTTTAGTAGTTTGGAGAATAGAATTTAGTGTGTGGATTTACTGAATTTGTAGATTTTGTAGAAAATTATGTTTTTTTTCTGTTACTTTTTGTATTGTGGAGTTTAGCTTTAGAGGTTTCAAATATTTAAAATCTACGGATATCAAATCTCTCCTAATCAGAGAGATCCTATATTTTGATTCGTGAAATTATTTTTCTCATACTTTTTCTCTTCTTTTTATTTATTTATCATATTAAATATATTTATCAACAAATTTTTTAGTATTTCTCAAACCAATCTAATTTTTTTTATTAAGGATATACATGTTATTTACTCTAAATTTTTATTTTTATTTTCAATGAATGTTAACAATCACAATTACCAAACAATAAACATAGCCGCATAAGCGGGGATCCTTGAAGATGAACCAAACGACAAATTCTTTGAACCCGAGCTTCACAGGTGGTCAATGCACTATTTATCTGGGCGGAGTAACGTCATCGATAGTACTCTTTTTGCAGGCACATGCTGGCTGCTGTGGAAGAACCGGAATGATCACCTGTTCCGAAGTGAGTTGAAAACCCATGAGCAGCTCCAAGTCATCATCAAACAACTAAGGCTTCAGATCACCAAAGCTTTTGAGAAGGAGAGCAATGTGTTCGGAGCTGGGGGACTCCGAGAGAGGCGGGAAATTAACTGAAAGCCACCGCTGAGTGGTTGGGCCTGTGTCAACATCGATGGTTCAGCCACTTACTCTCTTGCAAGCACGAGCTGTGGCGGCATTGTGAGGGGAGACGGTGACCGGTTTATCAAAGCATTCACAGCGAACCTGGGAGGGGGTTCGATTACTTGTGCTGAGCTGGCTGGGATTGCTTATGGGTTGAGATTTAATTTGCTTGGGAAGAGGGGATCATGAAGGTCATTCTACAGACAGACTCTTGCACTGCCCAAAACTTGATCGAGCAAGCGACTCCGCAGCATCCACACTATTCATGCGTCGCAGAGATCTGCCAATGGCTAGCTCGGCCTTAGCTTGTCAGGATAGAGCATGTTTTCAGAGAAGCGAATTTCGTGGCTGACCACCTCTATTCCATTGGCCACTCTGTTCCCATAGGGGTTCACGGGATTCAAAACCCGAGTAGTACTCTTCTATATTGGTCGTACTTTGATACTCTAGGGATTCAAACACCCCGTTTTGTCGTTTCTTAATATAGGTTAGGGCGCCCTATGCGGCCTGTTTTCACAAAAAAAAAACCAAACAATAAACATGTTAAATCTATTTTCAACTATCTGAAGAGTTAGAATGTTTAGATTGGTGACAATCTATAGATTTAAACTCATATTCCCCAAACGACCCCTTAGTAGATATATTGGTTATAAGGTGTATAGGTTTGTTTGAATAATAATTGGGGTTGTTAAGTGTTAGATACTATTGCACAAAGAATAGTTAAGAAAATCCAAACATTATAAAATGCT